AAATACCGTTATAGTGAATAAGAATGAGAATAATACCTAGATCTAGAGTGAAGACTCATCTTTTTAGCCCAGCTTATCATTAATGTTGGTGTTGTTATTTTGTGTGAAATACGTGAAATACTACTACTAATAAAAATAATAATAATAATAATAATGTTTTGCTTAAATGTAAAAATACAAATCATTCTTTGTCTGAATTCATGGAAGGCTGCCTGACTCATTCACTTATCCATCTTTTGAAAACACCCAAGGTTTTTGATGAAGTGCATGGATCTGTTAATTAAGGCGGACTCGGCGCCAGTTCGCTGGCGTCACGCAAAGAGCCAAAAGCTCTCTCCTGTCACTTCACATTTAGGCAACTTTCCAAATCCTCAAGTTGCCTGCTCCAGTTATTTTTCGCCAATGCAGTCAGGCTATGCTTTTGTGAACAGGAGAAAACCTGAGTTAAGAAAAGAAACGGCAAGGATCTAAATGAAAACAGCACCTGTCTATTGAAAGAACTAGCGTTTTGAGATACAACTTGGGACAATATGGCCTTTTCTACTTTTCTGTAATCTTTTTTTTAACAAGTCATACATTAATTATAATTGTTGAGTAGAGTCTCGAAATTCGGGGGGTCTTTTTAATTTGAATTAACACTGAAAAATGTAAATTAAGTATAATTAAATCTGTGATATTAACACTAAAAATTAAGTTTGTAACTTTACACGAAAATGTATAGTTTTCAATAATAGTTTTATTGGACGATTCAATTCACTAGCAATAGTAAAGGGTTCATTAATATTAAAGACCATATTAATATTGCAAGGCTCTTGTGTAAAACAAAGAACGGTTGTGTCAACTCAGAAAAACATGTTTCACTTTCAGCAATGTGATATAGTGGTGTGATTTTAAACAAATATCTAATTGATTAGTGTTTGTTTAGTTTTCTATTTGCTTTTCTGTCTGCTGGCTCCATTCTCAGGTGCATTTTTATAATATTATATCATATATCGTATCATATTACACATTAATAACAGCACAATATCCACAGATAACACTATACCTGCACCAGTAAGTCCCATACATCTGCCATTTTGTGATCCTGATGGGTCTCTCTCTCTCTCTCTCTCTCTCTCTCTCTCTCTCTCTCTCTCTCTCCCTCCCTCGCGCACACACACACACCTCAAGCTATCAATCTAAGCAGCTCCATTCCAATTTCTATATTTTAGATAATAGCTCTAATGTTACGATGCTTTCATTTGCCTTCCACAATTCATTGGGACTTGCACAATGATGATCTCACTCTCACAATTGTTTTTTTCTTGGTGGAATTTGTAGCAAATCAAATGGCTGTTTCTTCAATGACAACATTTACTTAACTGTTATTTTCTGGCAGAAGTTAAAGCGAAGCATGATGTTCCCTCTCATGACAACTTCCAGGCCTATAACCAGCAATATTCTACACACACTGACCGAATTGGCCAGTCTGCTGTTTTTCTCCTTGTAGCAAGGGCTGGACTTCAATGAGTGCGAGGTGAGGTGGAGTGCCGCTTGACAGTTACAAGGCAGGAAAGGCTCGGAGTAGGAAGTGATCTCACAGGTCTCACAAATGATCAATGGCTCCTGAGATAGTGAAGGGTAATAACTTGTAATCAAAGCCATAAGAGGATTTCAGAGAAGCATGGTCCAGAGAAGACGGTAGGGAAACATCCTTCTCCACCCCCTTTCTGTTGACGTTCCCAGACATGGCGTGCATGATGTTGCCTTTCTAACGCAGCCAATGATGAAAAATGTGGGGGTTGACGAAGGGGAGTGGCGGTGTTTGGGTCTGCTTTTCCTCACTCAGCACTCCTGAGAGGGATGGTCTACATGCCACCATTTTTCTCTGGTGCAGCTCCAGCCGACTGTTCGAGAGAAGCGCCAGAACAGGAAGGAGGCAATCAATCTGAGTGATGGTGCATGAATTTCACCTCTCTGGTCACAGTCCACACCTGGGACAAATTCAAAAGAATGTTAGGCCACTGAGGGTTCCTGATAAGTCATCCAAAGGGCAAGACAGTAAAGTAAGTATCACATCTGAAGGTTGGAGAGCACTGTTAAATGACAAACGGGAGGAAGAGGACAAGAAGATAACTTAAGTGTGGACTTTAGGCCGAGCAGAGAGGGTCTAAGGACCGGTCACCTTAAGTGTTGTCTGGGCTCTGTAGGGCCTTGTTTTAATCATGACATCATCTTGGTAACATAATAGACACAACACATGGATTTATTTATCCTGATTGTAAGATATAGATGCTGGGAGTACTATAGCTCCAAAAGCAGGGAGCAGCATCACCAAAAAAAGACTTATTTATGGATACAATTATGAGTATATCTTTCCTGTAATGCGCAAGAAAGATTCCCTCTGCCTCCATTCATTTTTCATGACATATGAATCATACATGTGCTGTTATATGAAAATGTTTGTCCATTGTTATCTGGAATGATTCATGATGATATCACTTTCTAAAGCTCAGACTTTGGTCTACTTTCTGAGCTCCAGCAGAGTGGAATGTGAATGTGGCTCATTACAATAAAAGGGGTGAAGATGATAAACTCTATCAGAGAGCTGAACACTTTGTTCTGCATCTTAGAGCTCCCACATTTGTTTTGTTATGCTTTTTGGTTCCCAGACCATTTCACTTTCGTGCCAGATTTTGCATGTTTTTACACCGTGTACACTGCTTACAGGCTACATGCACATTCTCCATACACTCTAAAGAAAAAGAAAAGAAAGAACTCCAGAGTGAGACCATTTTGTCAATGCAGTGTTTACGCTTTATTAACGCTCCTCTGTTATTCTTCTTTTACAAGGGCATTTGCACAAAACACAGAATTTGCAGAAGATGCACATGCCATGGAAGGGACATTGCATTTATTGTCTTTGACCTAACTTTCCTTTTTTTAATGTAATTTTATTTTCAACAGTAACAAATATATTCAGGGACATCTTTCAACATTGAATAACTGAAGAGCAATTCTGCATATGTGGGAGGCATTTACACCACATAATCTATAAAATGTATGTAGTGTAGATAATCAGTGCAAAAACGTAGAGCAAATATAATGCTGTAAGTCAGTATTGGACGTGTGGCATATGTTTTGTTCTGGCTTTGTAATGGATTAGAAAAAGCACAACTCCAATGAGGTTAAAATGCTTTAAATGCCTTTCATTTTTTTTTTGTGTACACTTATTACTTTTTACCTGAGTAAACATTGTAAACATGAGTTTATGGTCTCAGTCTCTAGTTTCAACAAAGCATGATGTTCCGTGTTAATTGTAGCATTTTGGTTGCCGTCAAATGTATTGTTCAGTGTTCGGTTGGTCTTATCTTCACCTTCTCGTGTCACTTCAGGTTCCAAGAAAAGGTGGCGACGACTAAAAAACCAAGATGTTGACTCGAGAATTCAAAACCGTAGTCCACAAACCAATGGGTGGCACTGCGGTGACTATATCAGCTTGATATATACAGTATATTCTATGGATGGGACTGCAAGACTGTGCTACAAGTCAAACTTCAAGTCACTGAAGTCCTTCAGGTTCGAGATCATCGGGTAAAGAATTTACTCAAGCCATCCATTTACCACTGCTTCAACTGGCTAGTTTAGCTGCTAAACATTTAAACAGTTTGTTGCCAATTAGCACCACAATTAGGTTGCAAATCATATACAGTTGATACCTTAATAATAAAGGCACGTGACAATGTCATTGATCCATAAAAGGAGACACTTTGTATCTTCCCTTGTGATGCTCTGGCCGGCAATCGTCTTTAATCATGACTGTCAGACCTTTTTGAGTAGCCACAGGGTACTCACAACTAGCTTGATACACAACTGACCAATTCGTTTCACATGAACATGCATACTGTACTGCCGTGTAGCGTACTCACACTTACCCTTTGTTCGGCACTAAAAGCCTCCGATCTGCTTGAAGCATACGTACATCAGCCCTGTCGAAAGTCATAAACACAGATGCAGACTGGTTGATATTACTCTCGCTCGACCTCCATCCTTACAAGCATCCCTTGAGCTTTATTTAGCTCAATGGCAGACTGAAATAGGAAATGAATGATACAATAAGAGTAGAATGGATTTATAGAAATGAGTATGCGATGTGTCACTGCGTTACGGAGACGTGTTCTTTCTTTTACTATGTTGTTCGGTGTTTAGTCAAGCTAGCAGCGTGGCTTCTTTGATTACATTGTTGGTCAGGTCGGTCACCATTTTGGTCCCGACTAAAATATCTCAACAAATATTGGATAGATTGCCATAGATGTCATTCATGTTCCCCAGAGGATGAAACATGCTGACGTATCCTCTAGTGCCACCATGAGGTTGACAGTTCTAGAAATGACTCACCAACGAGTAGATGGATTGGCTATTTACGTTGGTGACCACTTATCTTTTCATCTAGCACCACCAGAGTTTACATTTTAAAATTTAAAATT